TATAAATCATCACGGGCCAACGTGGATGACCCCGAAAGGATGACCAGTGTGTCTCTGCGTGGTCCACTGATGGTTTCTGTCTCGTCGTTGGCCACTGCGCGACCTCCTTTGGAAAAAAGAAGGAATGCAAGTTGTGCCCCATGTTGAACAGTCAGTCTGGAAATGACCATAAAGTAGGGCCGTATATGATCTGCCGACCCCGGTCTAGAACGATGAACGTGAGTGTGAGCAGAGCGGGAGAGACTCCGGTAAGCACTGGCCGATATCGGTGTGATGTCGGAATCCAAAAAAAAGAAATGCCGAAAACCTGCAAACATCTACCCAAAAGTTGACAAATTATGTGAGTTCTTGACGACGACGACGACGACGACCCTTGGACCATCGCCGGAGTGCGAAGCCCTGCAATACGTAATAAACGTCTTTGCCTTCCATGTTTCATATGTATACTACAGGATACACGGGATTCGTCACATCTATCACATCTATTCAGGGGCCATCTCTGCAGATTGCAAAATATCCAGTTGTCCAAGTTGGGTTGCACATTGCGATGGCTCCCCTGCTTCTCTGGACAGTAGGGACTGAAACAAAGCTTAACATAGATCATCCACACCCTTCTATCCTCCTTGACAGGGGGTCAAAGCACCCCGATCTGTGTATGCTCGCAGAGAAGTATTCAGCTCATTGATGAACTGACCTACAATGATATCCAAATTGGTTCTTTAACAAATGAACTCCTCACACATCTTCAGACATGGTGAATGCACCACAACGCCAAGACCCACAAGTGTGGGGTCGCCTGTTTCATCTTTTTTGCATCCCCCTTCGATCTCCATGTCGGAGGCTCACGAAATCCACACCCCGCAGGGGTGCACGACGTGTGGGTTTCCAGCATCTCACCATATCTCCTCCCCTCTCGTCACTTCACATCACCCAAGCTACAGCGGATGGCTGCCAGCAGCAAACCTTTCGCTTGCACTGGGCCCCGAGGAACCACCTGGATTGGTCACAGTCTCAGTGTGCGGAAGGGCTGGGTCCTGGGCCTTCGCTTCATGGTGTCCAATGTCTTGAGAGGAGTCACGAGCTTAATCGAGCTTCAATCTGGGAAGCCTGAAATCACTGAAACATGGACTCTCTTCTAGGGATTGCTGGAAGACGATGTTCCTCTACCACCCAGAAATTTGAGTGTTCTGCGTCGAGGGTAGACAAAGAGCCATCCCTTTTTGAATCATGTGAGCAGCACCAATCGGAGAATGAGCCACATTCACTTGTTTCAACAGGGATTTTGCCCATCTCATCTGGGAAGTTGCTCAAGACACGATGTACTCTTGCAGACATAGAGTTGTCAAACAGTCCACCCAGGCCCAAAGCTTGAAGATTCCAAGAATCACTCTCCTGTGGATCCAAACAACACAGTCTCAGTGTCGATTTCCACCGGGCCCTTGCAACACGCCGTAAGACGCAGCCCCGGAGGTGGGCGCTGTGCCAAAAAGGATCAAAAGGGCGTTCCAGCTAGCATCCCAAGCTGATGCCAAACACCCGCAGTGGTGACTCAGGCAATCACCACGTTCAAACCAGGGCAGTGTGTGAAGAAGGCCTAGCCATTGGCAGTTGGGTTCAATGGATGGCATGCAGCTGAGTTCTCTAAAGTTCAGGGGATACCCTGGTTGTGTTTCTCTCTCTTTGAATCAATTACAGAGCCATGCCACGCACATTCCGGGAACCTACTAATTACCTATACGTTGCTGTAAGGCCTGGGACGAAAGGACAAAACTTCATCTTTTGGCACATTCTTGGGAACAAAACCGTTCTAGGTTAAAAAACGGTTTCCTTGACAAGTGCATCGAATACGGACACATTGGTGGATACTGTGTGTAAGTATATATATATATTATTTATGTAATATGATTGGTGCCCCTCGCGCGGGATCAAAAAGCCAAGCAGCACAGCATGTCACAGGAAATGATGGAGGCGACATGGGGTGAGATAATTGTTCCAGTGAAAACTACCCGATGTGGAACGGATATAGACACAAAATGATACAAAGGCATACGAAGGCGGCATCCGCAGAAGACCTCGACGGCTTTGTGGACACCCCAAATATCCCCAGGTCACCTCCCTTCTACACGATGTCTTGCCATCAGCTAGAGGCTAATGAATGCTTGCACTGCATCTTTATAGCCGCAGTCACCGAAGAGAGCTCCGATTTGTGCATAATGTTCTGACGAAAATATACGCATGCATCATTGTGCACCTGCACGTCCTGCAACTCGTCACGCAATAGTTGCGTGCTGCTCATGGTGAGTTGGAGTGCAGAAAAGTTCGATACAAATGCATGATTGTGCACCTGCACATCCTGCAAACCGTCACGCAAGAGCTGCGTGCTGCTAATGGTGAGTTGGAGTGCAGATCCGCACTCCCCACTTTGGCACAGGTAGGCCGCTTAAACAACTAAGAGATTTCACCTGGTCAGCTAGCTTTGGAGTCTTCAGCGGTCAGGATGATAGTTGCGACTAGAAAAACAAGCAAGTAAACCGCCTAAGAAGAGTCTCGACAGCTGGGCACTGGGCGAAGTTCACCCACAAGTGGGATGTCTTTGCCAGGCAATGCTGCTTTCAATAGTGTGCACTGTGAACCGTTTCAGTTTGTCATGCGAGCATTCACAGCAATACGTCGGCATGGCACATATGCCCACGCGTCTGCAAGCTCCAAGAAATAAGAACCAGGGAACCTGACAGCAAGTCAGCACAACAGCATGACCCGATTTCAGCATCCCAGCGTGATAAGGCGCCAGCATGTTAGCGTGACCGTGTGACCCATGCCAGCGCGCCCGCGCGACAACACGTACGCATGACAGCCTCCAAGTGACAGCATCATACGCAGCGCACCCACATGACGCCATGTCAGCGTCTCGGCGTGGCAGTACTTCAACATCCAAGTCCAGAACCTGATCCGGAAGCTCCGGAACCTCGTCTGGAACCTCCTCCCAAACTTGCTCCGGACCTGCTTCAGACTTCCTGCTCCGCTTCACCAGAACCTTCTCCGGAACCTGCTCCGGAACTTATGGCTGAAGACGCACAAGCTTCGCTGTTGGGGAAGAAGAAAAGATTCTACTCCCCTTCGGTCTGAAGTCAGCTCCACCCCACAGGCCTGGAATGGCCCGGATGGAGATTTCGGACTGGCAATGAATGCGGTCAACTGGTCAAGCGAATCGGGTTTGATGGGTAGGCACTAGGCATGGTTTGACCATCATGGAAAAGGGTGATCTCTTCAGGATTACAAAGGATCCCAGAACGGATACAGGACGGGTCTAACTTGTTTTGGTCTTGCCGACCTTCCCTGCACCAACTTGTTAGATAAGCAGAATCGAGAAAGATTTCTCAACATCGTACCAGCCAGCTTTGACAGCTTCTGGTGTCTTCGACCACTTGGGTCGACCAGTCGAAAGCTTCGCTGGCCAAGAAGACACCGTCCGACAGTCCAGTTCTGCGATATTTGCTGGCCTTGCGTTGAACTGGATCTCTGGGTCAGCCTTGAACATCTAGGCAACACAATATGGAGGGCGTTATATAGAGGGCATTGCAGCATTACAATCAAAAGAAATCAAAGAAATCCTGACATGCACATGATTCTTATGGATCTTGTATTTGACCCAGAATGATCCAGAGTGAAATTCAAACAAAGATCATTTTACACAAAGGTATCGAACCACCTGCAAGTTGTGCGAGATGGCCCGGCCCTAGAGTCGGCCCCGGAAAGTTTTATGCAAACCTGGTTTCGACGCTTAGATCATTCAAGGCCCCCTGGACCTGTTCATGATGCAGCGCATCAAGCTTCTTATGATTTCTTATAATGCTTCTCATCATTGGAGAGAACAGTCATCACCAAATGCTGACTTGCAGAATACAACAAATTCTGTGAAAACACTATATACTTTGTGGAAATGCCACTTCCAGGCGGTCTGGCTGGCTGTCTGCCAGTTCAAAACAGTGCCTATTCTGACATTCGTTATACAACATATATAAATATATAGTGCAAAATGCAAGGGGCCTCCCACTGGATCATCTTCAGGAAAACAACTTTGACATTCGTCCAAATTCATTCCAATACAATGCCCACCCAGGTGTTCTTCTAATTAAATCCATACGCAGCCATTCTGCCGGGGCAAATGAAGGTTTGAGAGCTACTGTAAGATCTTTGCTTCAGCCTACCAAAGCTCGTCATAGGGTCTCATCCACAGCCCAGGGAGGCTAAAGGAGGTTGTTTCATCAAACCTTTGGAGCAAAATCGGCCGTGTCACAGGGCAAACACTCAGAAATGGTTGGTCGTTATCTCCATGAAACCACTTACCATACAGGCTTCAGAGGCCTCCGGTCATTGACATGACCGACAGAGTAAGACGCGTGAGACGTATCAAGCAGATTCGCTTCAGGCGAATCATGATGCACTTCAAAGCGGATGGCTCCGCAGCGGCCTCCCTTGGGCAAGCTTGAAAAACACCTCGAATGATTGGACGCATGCAAAACATAACCATCTGTCCCTTTGGCGATTTCTGGATCTTCAATCTTGTTGGAGTCTTGCAGGTGACAAAGCAAGTCGAACATAACCAGAACATCACCAGAACTTAACATCACTAAACCATACTAAACCATTTTCAGGGGATGGTCGAGGGGGAACTCTTGCGAAGGGCCCTGCTCAGGAACCAAAAGAGAACAGGTGTCTGCTAAAGATGCGCCTCCACATTTTGCAAGTTGAAGGGGAGAAGGAGATGGCGAATACGTCGACCCTTCTCCTAAAACTCCTTTCAAAGTTTGCTGTGGTGCACACGCCTGCGCCGCCTGTGCACGGATTACATGGCGCTGACTCAGCCGAAAGTTGGCCCATGTTGGCCCAGTTCTTTCTGCTCTTTCATAGAGGCTCCTTTTGAACAATATAGACATGGCCAAATCATACCTCACAATGTATAAAACTAAAATAAACTAAACCTGTCTTATCATGTCTGTCATCGCATTACATCTGTCTGTCATGCACTCTCAGCTGAGGCAAAGAGGATCTTCTGCACGGCTCCTGCGTCGGGTGCCTTTTGTTTCTGATTTCGAAAGCACTATGGAAAGCACTATGAAACTAGAAACCCCTAGTTTTGGGCCTTTGCAGATTTGCAAAACTTTGCACCGCTGAAACTTCGCATCGAATCCACCAGATGAATCTGTCAAAGTCGGTCCCTAAGCTTGGTCGCCTTGGGCATCAGATCCCCCCGAAAAAAAAATAGACTCAACACGGAGCTCTGGGCACCCTTCGAACCTGACCCAAAAAGACAATTCATTTTTTCGGCGCCTGTTTGGAATCCAACAGTTCCGGCCAGTGCAAAAGTGAAGTAGAGTAGCTTCTGAACCAGGCCCATTGTCACACAAGTATCCCATACCTCAGCTTGAGGGCGCAAAAGGCAAAGTCAGTACAACTTGAACAGTTCGAGACCAGCCAACAAGAAAGCTACAGGCTCGGTTGGTGAAGCTTAGTCACGAAAAAGCCACACTCGCTCAGAGACAAGAATGTTGCCAAACCCAAGTAGTCGTGGTCTTGTTCCTCATCCTCCACATCACATAGAGTCACCAGCGAAGGCAGCCGTCGGCATGCGGTGGTTGTCGATGCATGCGTCCACAGCACACCTGCCCAGGTAGGCCGAGCTGTTGCTGGTCATGTGTCACACAAACGCAGCTCGTAGCTGGTTGGTGGTTTCAACTCACTTGAAGAAGAGTATTATGATGAGTTCAATCACGCCAAGTAAGGTTGAATATAAAATGTCTTACGTATGAAACCACCATCGAGACATAGGGTTCGTACCAATGGCATGGTTCTCTCGCAAGTGAAACCACCTTAGGCTGCATGAGCATGTCAATTGGAACCTGAGAAGGACATTAGCAAAAACCCAGTTGCTTGGGGATATCTTTTGACTCTATTTGATGATGTATCAGATGTACGTATCATACTTGCGGCAACATTTGTGGGGTGGCCCGGCCAGAACAAGGGTGCGCAGTAGTTGAACACATGTCCACTGACAAAATACTTTGCTAGCTATGTGCCCTATCAAGTCCCTATCATATGTTCAGCATCAGCTGTTTGACTCCTCTTTGCACCCTGATCTCTGACCTGGTATGAGATAGGCCACAAACATTGATGAGGCCACCAGGTCCATTCCTCTATCTTGTTGCAAGTCATACAGCTGTGCAAAGATGAGCATGACCATTGTGGATCCTAAAGCTGTTAAGCAACGCTCGAAGCTGCGTGAGGTCTTCCGGAAAAGGCTGCTGATGCCACGCCAGTCACGCTTGGCCTCCAGGCAAGAGGCATCACCTTCCACAAACCAAGCGCTCCACGCGTTTACGATAAGCATCATGGCATGAGAGGTGCGCACTTGCCAGAAGCTAGCTACCACCAGCACAGCCGTGCTGATGGCATGCTCGATGCAGAAGAAGATGGCACTAAGATTGATTGACCCGTCCGCTTCCCATACATAGCGGGCAAAGAGGCTAAGGCGAGCACCCAACAATGCAAGCCATACAAGCACTAAAAGCAAGGCATCCTTGCATGGACAAGGCATCAGGCAACAAAGCTGCACCCAACAGGCCTAATCTTGGATGTCGATTTGTACATGGCACTGTATGGGATTGTAAAAGGTTAAAAGGACCTCAAAAGTGCTTGTACCATCTTGTAACATAATTCTCAGCCCTCTGTATAGTTGCTTATGGGTCAGACTTGCAAACCCTCGAATCCTTCCTCCCCCTTTTTTCAACTTGTTCATTGGCCTCAGACAACAGCACTAGCACTTGGATTGGCCATTGGCCGCATGGAGACACTGAGCTGAGTTGTGTCTGAGCTGATGGTCCTGCTAGAGGCCTTCCGCGCAGTGAAAAAACTTCTCCAGACTGGGGCATCGAAAAGAAATATGGTACAAAACCATACAAAACCCGGTGTCATTCCCGTGTCCAGCCCCAAAAGAAGTCGAGTCCACCAACAACATCTCTGCCCAGAGTCGGACGAGCTCCATATCTTCCAGGCCATGTCGAGTGAGGTTTTCTCACAGTAACACGATAGTTCTTCGATACTCTGTGCCACTAGTCTCGTAGTGTCCTGGAGCAAGTGCGACAGAATCACTCACTTTGTCAAGGAAAACGGTTTGGATGGGTAGTTTTGTGGGTCTCCTTTTGTATCATGTCACGCATACCGTTCACATCCTTTCACTGTATACCTCACCTCGGGCCTCGTCTTCAACAGGGTTGTGGTATAACGTACCCCATAGCGACACTTCCAACCTGCTAGAGTAGCTCCAAGAGCCCCCGTATGCAGTCCTTGTAGCTCCAAAACCCACCCAGGCTGAGCAAAACCAAACAGCTGCCCAGAATGAGAAAGAAGTCCACAGCCAAAGGGGGCCAGGGATGAAAGCAAAGATTATGAGCCTGATCCGCGTTGTGGCAAAGCACGAGGTCGTAGCCCTTGCTGACAAGGCGGAAGAAGAGGAATGAGATCAGTAGCCAGTGGTATAGCCGTGAGGCCCACCATCGAGTACAGCCCAGCGAGCTCACTCCGAAGAGCGGCACCAAACCCAGTGCTGCTGAGAAGTGTCGAGATACCAAGTTGTTCAAAGGGCTGAGTGTCAGCCAACAAGACTGTGACCAAGACAACACCAGGGATTCCTCCAGCAAACTTGGCTGGTCGGACTCGGACTGGCCTGAAGGGATTGGCAGCACGGCAGTAAGTCTCCGTGGAGACAAGTTGGCAGTGAGTCGCGTCTCCCTCAACTTGAAAACATCACCTTACTTGCCCAAAAGAAGCTGGGAAATAAAGCATTCACCTTTGGGGACTGTGGGCAGTTCGATATAGAGTGAGTAAATCTTGAGTCTTGAGATTGAAGGTTGATTAAAAGGTCGGCGACTTCTGCAACCGAGCCACTAAGATTGGCCCGCCCTGACACAACTTGTTGCATTTCAACACTTGAGGTTCGCCTGGAGAGCTTTGGTGGTGAGTGAGAGCCGCGGGAAGCAGTTCCACTCACCTGGCAAGAACCAGCGTTGGCTTCACCGACCAAACTGACCGCCCCGTCCGACCCTTCCGGCCGGTGAGCTCGGAGCCCATTGTGAGTGTGAATTCCAGGTCATGGCATGGAGACGAAACGCTGCGTTTTGCCCGCCTTGTGACCCGTTGCCTCGAGCTCCTCACGCCCCTCGGCCATGGGCTTCAACTCCTTTCGAGGAGCCTGAAAAGGTAGATGGCAAAGGGACACCTGCCTGGAGTGACCATTCATGTCAATTCATATGAATTCGTCATTCTGAAATATTCTGAGAGTCTGAATGGAATCATGTTCCTACTTGGAAATCACAATTTGGAGCAATCCACTTGCCTTCCACTTCAAGTCCGGATGAAAGCGACAAGACTTTTCAAAGTGGCCGGTGGCTTGATGTCAATATCATTATATATATATGCAAAGACCTCATAAATGCAAAGACCTCATACCAACGAGCACTCTCCACCTTCTTCTCCTCCTTCTTCTCCTTCAACGTCTTATTCTCCACGTCTTTATCCTTCATGTCTTTCGTGTCCTTCACGTCCTCACTGGCTGTTCTGCGCCGATGAGGTGCACGGAAAGGCACCAGGCTGCTGATGTCCATTTGCAAGGCTTGCTTCGCAGCACTCTGCTTGGCCTGGAGATTGGAGTTGGACCAACGGTGGCCAACATGGCGATGTTGGAACAATGATGAGCCGTTTTCGATGCCATGAGTGTCGGTCTTTCCATTTGTAACACTCTCCGGTATTTTTTTCCGGTTGACTTTAGGATGCATCAACCTGTGACTCAGCAACGCCCCGCATAGCATGTGCTTCAGTGTTTCGGGCGTTTCCTGTGACAGCACCCGCCTGCCGCTTGGCGCGTCGCGATTCTGAAGCGGCGGAAGAGACCGAGAAACGATGATCCATCTGTTCGCCCAGGTGATGCAAGCCTTGACAGAACATCCACGCTCTGTGAAAACAGGAGTTCTTTTATATTGAGTTCTGACTCATTCTCATCTCCGCCCAGACACCATCCTCCAAGGTGTCCAGCCGATTTGCAATCGAATCATGAACCGCGTGAATGGCCTCGTAGGTGGGCACGGCAAGTACAAACCGACTTTTTGCTCACGCCAGCTCTAACCCCGGGGGATTTAGCGTTTTTTTGCTATCAACAACATTCTCCCCAGTGGCCCTCCAAATTCATGTACATGTGTTCCCACGCCTGTCACTTCTTTTGGGGGGGGGTCGGGTGGGGTCCTGCCTCCATCAGCTGTGTGCAGCTGATTCTTTTCTTATTTGCTTGCTTGTCGACGGGGTTTCAGTTGATTGGTCGAGGCTGGCTAACAAGGTCTCAGATGAAGAGGCCAGGAGGCCATGAGAATCATCGGCCTTTTGGCTATGATCAAGTTGGGGGTACGCAATAACGCTCAGCTTCTAACGTATTCTGTTGTTAGAGTCTACTTAACATGAAAACAGTGTTGACGCTCTTGTCTATGGCTATGGTTACATGAGGAAAGTGTGGTTGACGTTCCTGGCACGAGGTCGCTGTTGGCGGCGTGACCTAGTTTTTGGAGGCAAGTTGTTTTCCCGGGGGGCTCTTCCACTTCCATGAACATCAGGAACCTCCCAAAAAACCGTTGGGCCAAGGGGTTCTATTGAAGATCTTGCAGGTGCGGAATTCTCGATTGGTCTTTCCCCTTCTCAATTTGGTTTGGACAATGGCAAAGGTACACAAAGTCATCCTGTATAAATATGGTACATATGGTGTCCCATATAGATTCACACATGCGTTGCGAAAGTCTTGTCATGTTCTCCGAAAGCATCTACGAGTCCAGCAAGTATGCCCATGCTTATTATTTCGTTTGTATTCTAAAAAGAACTCCTCCACCTTGCCCGAAACTGCACCACGAAAGGATTGGAAGGTCTGCCTTTGAATGAAGATCCTACACGTAAAAATCCCCCTCACAAAGAACCTCTACCAACTCCTATACCAGCACTCTTCAAAAAGACATACAACACAAATCAACACAACATACAAAATAAATCACCCATTCCCCACGCTCCCAACATCGAAACGCGACTCATCGAGTCACTGCTTTCAACCCGCCTGAAGGAGCTCGTCGAAACCCGTGGGCAGCATCCTCGGGAGCGCGTCCGGCGCGTCCACAGGGCCGGTCGCGGGCGCCACGGGGCCGGACCGCTGCGCCATCGCTCGGGGTGCCGAGTAAAGGAAGCCAAGCAAAGCAACGGATCTGTTTCGATTGATTCGGTTTTTTTTTTTGAAAACTGGGAAGAATCTGACCGAAGGGCATTGCCTGACTACTGCTAAGCGAGCCAGAAGCAGGGTAGCGGTATGTATGTATGTGTGTGGATCTGTGCAAAAACGTCCAACTACACATCTAACTATTGAGCACAAAAGGATTTGAGAAGGGGCAAATATGGCCAGAACGAATTCTTCGCAATAGACCGTATAACAAAGAGCGTGCCTGGCTTTGTGCACCACTTGCTCCTGGTTTATTTTGTGTGTTGCTACTTGCCTCCAATCAAATCTGTGTGCTTGTGAGTGGCGGCAAGGTGGTAAGCACCATTTTGCACAGGCCCTTTAAATATTTCAGAGTCACCCTGGTCAGGACCAAGCTGGGCCTCAAAAAGCGCACTTTGGTGAACCAAAATACTATACATGTCACTACTCTCATGGCAAAATGATACTGAAAATGTTACTGTATCAACGACTAAAACCTGTTTCTACCAGCTGCTGGCTTCGGGGTCATGAATGGACAACTTCACACATCCTACACTACCAGGTTCGACACCGCTTCACAGCGCTTTCAAAACGAAAAACACCTCTAACCCAGGACCTCTCGAACCCTGGAAGCCGCACCTCTGGGGACTGCGAGTGATAAAGGCCTGGGCCAAGACCGAGCCCCAGGAGTCGGCTCCGTGCATGGACGGTCCGAACTGTTGGAAACCCTGAAACCCTGAAACCCAGGGACTGGTTTGGTCTGGACCATGTCCTCGAATGGAGGGCCGCAATGGGCCCCATGTGTTGAGCTGAATACAACAATCGTCTGGATGGGTGTCTGCAGAAGCTCGACACTTCCTAGATTCTGGCATCTTCTATCCACCTTCGTTCTGGTAGTACGGTATCCATACCTACAAGTTTTGCAAACCAGCAGCCACAGTGGTGGAGTTGAAGGCAGGGTCAATATGCTCAGTATGATGAAGTTCATTGGGTTGGCTGGTTTAGTAAGAGCTGCAGCCATCATTAACATAATAAGCTCAGGTAACAGGTATGTTAAAATGCTGCACTCTTGCTAGCAACTGGCAGCAGTGGATGCTGACAGCGCCTGCTGGTGATGGTGGGTCTTAGAGTCTTCAAAGCTAACAACGCGTCGTTGCGTTGAAAGTTGTGCCAGTCTTACATCCACGACCCTCAGTTCGGGTGTGAATAGTGTGTGTCTTCAAGAAAATGCCCTCAAGGCTTGCGGGAACACCTCCAATAATCCCTCAGCCAAACACTAATTGCTAGAGTTCAGTTCTGTACAGAATCCTGCACAGCTTGCGTGCACCTCCCTCTCTTATGGCACCTTTCGGAAAACCACATTCCAAACTCTTGGATTTTTTGCTTCGGGGGCGATCTATTCAGTCAACTGCGGCGGTGCGGAAAAGGCTCGGGTTGTGATGGCGGGTTCGTCGGCTGCCTCCATGGCCCACCGCCCCTGCAGGCATGCGGATGGTGAGAGAGCCGCAGTGCCTCAGGGTGGTAGTGGAGACAGTGTTGCTCAACCATTTTTCCCGACCGACTCGGCTTGTTCATCAGTGCTTGCTCATGAAGGAACAGCACAGGGGTGCAACCGAAACACACTCCTGGTCACTGAGTGGGGGTGTGGTCGTCGCCAAGGACAAAGTACATGAATTCCCTGTGTTCGGTGGATATGCTGCTTTGCTTTATTTCTGTATACATTCAGATCAGTAGACTGCAGCACAGCTCACTCCTTTTTCACCGTTCGCGAGGGGGAGCTGGGAACGCCATGAACTCTTATGAGTCATCAGAAGCACTCTTCCGATTTGCGTTGGTTCGTACTCCTAGGACCAGTAGGGGGTGAACTCCTTTCACCGGCATGAAGAGAACTCTCAACACCCGCTCTCTCGAGCCTACAGCTCCAGAGCGTACAGGAGGATACTGTGGACTTAACTAACCAGTTAAGACCGTGACCCCTCGGAGTTAGACTCACCCGGCCGCCGCACCCGGAGCAAAGGGGTGACCACAACCCTGATGGGCCTCACCCACCGGTCGGACCCGGCACTCGTTCCTGGCCGTGGCTTTCTGCTGGCCCCCCCAAACCAAATGAAAACGCGCAGCGGAATGCGCAACATCACACTGTTTCTGGGCAGGGTGGGTGGGGAAAAGAAATTCACCTGAAGCCGTTTTGGGTCACTTGAGCATACGTTGTAGCGGCGGCATATGTATGTGCACCATGCCACAACTCAAGTGAGATCCACTGACATGAAAGATTATGTGTCCACCACACCTGCCCTACAAGCACAAGACACTACAAATTATATATATATATATCTGCCTTCCACGGGTGTATCCTTATCTGCCGCTTGGCGAACCAACACAAAGTTCAGTCGTTTGCCGTGAATAAAACGCCTTTTTTCGTTTCAAACGTCGCGGCAAACGTCGCTGTTGGGTCGGGGAAGATCGCCGTTGGAAAAAAACCTTGACTTCGATCGGAAACAGGTCAGTGTCTTGGCAGACAAAATAGTTGGCATTTGCGAAAGAAAAAGCAGCTTTTGATTGAAAAGGCAGAAGAAAGGCATAGCTATGATGGCCCAGGAAGTGCGTCCCCCTACCCCAGCAGTAGACCTCGACCTCGCAACCTCGACCAGGGCAGAAGACGTCCAAATCCCGCCGGACCCACCAGCAGCTGTAGCGGAGATGACATGCTAATGCGAGTAATGGTAATGCATGACAACAAAAGGTTCAACAAGAGTGACACGATAACGAAAAAAACAACATGAACATGCATATCATGAGGTGAATAAGACAAAATGATGATGACAAGCACAACATGAAACCAACCATCGTGAATGAGCGAGATGTCACGAACATGAAGTTTACATGGAAAACAAAAGAATCTGACCTCCACCTCCCACCGCTTCATTTTGATCTCGGTGGTTCAAGGCACGAAATCGATGACAATGCTCTCACTGGCATGAGAAGGATGAGAAAAAAAAAACACTACATCACAAGCGAGAACAAGTCATGCCAACGAAGAGTGGATGACCGTGTGCATCCGTGTACTACGCGGAGTGCACTTGGTGCGAATCGCATGAACATCCAAACCTGAGATGCAAACCATCCAATCACAGGGACCAAACCTGAAAAAGCCTCTCCATCGGTCGGTCGACTGGGGGGTCCCGACCAGGTACTTCCAGCTCGATAGCCTGAGCTCCAGTCCCCTTCGGAAGAGGACCGGGTCCATCGGGAGGGCCAAAGGCTGCTCATCAAAATCTTGACTAACTATATACACTCTTATCACTCTTTCAATTCAATTTTTGCAGGATTGGCACTCAAACATGACAACTGCCGGGGTCGATCAGAGACTGCAGAGGTTTTTGGTAACCTTTCTGACTGGTGTTTAGTAGAGAAATGGAGAATAAGGGAATGAGCCGTCACTGTACACATTAGGATCCAGCCACCCTCATTCCTTACGAATCGCAGGTCGCACTCGTCAGATTTGGAACCCCAAAATGCAACTGCTGGGATGGAGATCGCCTTTGAGTGCAAAACGTCCAACACTTTGAGCGCAAAAAAATGCAAAAAACGTTACAACAATTGTAGCTTTATTGTTACTAGCAGTAAGGCTAGGAGCTACTAGTAGCTTCTTGCTCGTAGTAGCGATGCCCTTTGTTACTAGTAGCTTCGTGTTCATGTCCAGCAGGATATAGGGTTTAGAATTGTTCTTTGGCTGGAATCTTCCCAAAGACCAAGAGAGGCACAAGGGGACAGCACATGGGACCAACAGCGTCAAACTGCGGATCAACAGCATCTAAGTCATACAACCGTGACGAGACTCGAGCGCTTGAAGATCGAAAACTGATGCAAATCTGGGGGACCAAAATCAAAAATAGGGACAGCACAAACAAAGGCACCGCGAAACCCTGCAAATGAAACGTAGCAGTGTCATCTCAAAGAGGGGCTGCCAGCATTTCAGTGTTTGCATTACTTATCCAATCCAATACAATTTCCATGTGTATAATGAGGTCGCATAAAAATTACTAGTCTCTAGTAGGTTATCGCCATCGGATATGTTCTCTTTTCATTTGCAGGGTTTTTAATGTGCAACATCTCCAATAGCTTTCTACACTCTTGGCAGCATGACTGTCAACCACAAATTCATCCCAAAGGCAGTTGCAAAACTCAAGCCCACCTTTCAGCAACTCTCACTTCAAAAGCGCGATCACACTGACTTCAATGTCTATTCAGAAAAGGAGGAGGTTGCATTAACAAAAGGCTATTCTTACTAACGATTTGATTAATTAATATATATAAATTATATCATATATATCTTTTTGAGGTCATGTGCACCAAGGGAATCAACGTATATAATGTGTCACGCTATGGTTGCTTTACCATGATTAATCAATACACGCTTCTTTTTGGGCGATGCTAGAAACTATCTAGAACCTTTAGACTTGCCTTTAAACTGTGGCCTTCTCGTACGGGTGCATTGTAATTCTGCAACTATTGCCTTTGTGGATCTTCGTGGCCTTTGTGTGTATGTCCTGCATCGAAATCGAAAAGGACGGCCCATGACTCGTGACACTGGAGAAGATGAATCTGTGTCTCTCTCTCTCTCTCTATGTGTGTGTGTGTGTGTGTCAAGTACAGCACGGTCGCTCAGTGTGCAATACAAAAAGCACTTCTTGCACAAATCCGACTCGCAAATACGGACGTGGAACAGCACCACCTCTTGGTACTCAGTCTTAGTCTTTTTTCGGCCGTTCTATCCACTTTCATGTTGAGTCGTCTTTGGTCAAATCAATCCGTTGGTCATGGTCCCACCCAGATCATGCGCTCCCAGCGGACACGGGGAGCCCCCGTCCGGGACTCCCGGACGATACTTCGCGGCTTCGTTCACGATTTGATCGAACCTCGGGGCGGTGAGAAACTCGAAGCAGTCATCGTCATGTAGACTGATG